ATTAGAATAACATTTTTTTATAATTTTATTTATTATTTAATAATTAATTAATTCTTTTAATTAAAAACTTGTAATATTACATGTAGTTGTAAAAATATATTCTATACATATCATTACTCGTTAATTAATACTACAACTAATCAAAATTAAAACTTGCACTGCTAAATTTCAATGAAATTTGGAAATAAATGTCTATATATATATGCCGCAAGTGTGGGGATCAAATTAATGAAAGTGAGATTAATTAGTAGTTTAAGTAAAGTAGCATTGGGATTGCAGAAAGGGGAAGAGAGTTGTGTAAGGGGAAAGTCAACAACAGAGGGGGGGGAGATGAGACACAAAACAGATAAACACAATCTTTAAACTATATAATTAGGGCCGCACGTGTGAAGGGGGGGGTGTGAGGGTCCCACGTAAAGGTTAAGGAGATAATAGATCCACGTGTGGCGGACGTCAATCACAGCGTTGCATGTGTTGCGGCGTGTCGATGACCGGGCTGTTTTGTTTCTGTTTCACTTCCCTCTCTTTTGACTCCGGTTTTCGCGGCTATTCTTGTTGCTTTGTTTATCTTTTTATTTATTTATTTTAATTAATAATACGTAATTATCAACATTTTCTATCTATCCATGAGAGTTGAAAAACAAAATAGTTTAGTTAAAAGAAAACACATAAATGCAACATCAGCAACAGATTTCGAATAATTATTAGTATTTTTTGTTATTGTTTATAATTCAAATATTTTTTATAATTATTAGATAGTGTTTATTGAACTTAATAGTTAAAAATTTTATATTTTAAATTAAAAATCTCAAATTTAAAATTTAAGTCTAGTGAAAAAAAATTTAAAAATAAAAAAAATTATCATCTTTTATATAACACATAATCAAATTAAAAAAATAATGATTATTAACTATACAAACCGGAAACAGTTAAACTTAAACGGAAGCTTAATCTCCTCGATCACACCAAATCTAATATTATTAGGAAGATGATTTTCCTGGTCCTATATATATATATATATATATATAAAGAACTGATTTGATGTGTAAAATTAAAGTTTAATTAATTGTGAGGCACCGACGTCAGACAGGAGAAGCCCTGAAACACAAGCATCCTTTGGCGTTGTTGGATCATGTGAATTCCTCAAAACCGTTTCTTCTACGTTTTCCCAGCTGTTTTCCCAGCTGTCTAATTCTACCAACCTCACCATGTGTAAGTTAATTAAACTCTCCCTAGTGAATTTAAGGCTGCCAGTACCCATTTAAACAAACATTTAATTAGAAGAAAATCAACATTAATCCATCCATTCTTTATAAATTCTTTGGTTCATCAATAAATTAGTGTGTTTTTAGATATTACACAGATTGAACTTAGAATCAAGATTAGAATTCTCAAGGTTTCCCCTTTTTTTTTTCCTTTTTTTTCTTTTCTCAGTCAAGGACATTACAACCCATCTTTCAAAAGAAGCGTGTAGGCTTAAATATTCCAAGAGAAGATAGAAAAAGAGAAGAGAAGAAAAGTTTTTGCACAATAACAATAATAGCTTATAGAAGTTTAGACCAGCTAGTTTGCACCTACTTCTTTACATTATATTTTATTGTTAGATTACCTCCTCACAATTTCACTAAAAATATTAATGTAACTTGAAGTCGTTCATTACAAAAGTCGAACTAATAATCTCAAAATTATCAAGTTTAAGTTTTAGATATTTAATTAACTAATTGACCTGCATCCTTATTGACATAGTTTTTTTTTTT